CCCCCCCCCCCCCCCTCCGTCTTCTAATTTTTGTTCTCGTCTGCAACAAAATCTGGTTAAAGAACCTCGCTGTTCAATCGTATCGCTTCCGCGAAGTTTACGGGGAGGTGTACGTTGATTAGCAACCGCCTGTCTGGGAAGCCGCAGTGCTTAAACTTCGCTTTTCCCATCAAAAACGAAACCCTTGGCCTGGTCTGTCTCGGTTGTGAAGCGTTGTAGTCGTTCATTTCGTTGTCGATGCTTAATTTCCTTATTAACATCGTGTGAAAACGTTATGAATTTTTTAAACATAGTATTAGATTTTCCTGCCAAGTTATATTTGGGCAGTAATTTGCATAAATTAACCACTAACCACACGATGCCTGTTTTTTTTTTTTTTTTTTTAACCACACATCGTTAATCTGCTCGATAAAACGTACAGGAATACAATCTATAGAAGCCATCCAACGTCCTTCCTTAACATCCCCCCAGTAACGTTATTTAAAAGAAAGATAGCGGGAAACAAAAGTTGCGAAAAATTACTATTTTGTCTCAGGTATACAGTTTCATTGGAGTGCCCGCAAATTTGTAAGCATCAAATGGTTCAGAAAGGGTGAAATATTTGTATCCCGTTTTAATTTTGCTCGAAATCGGAGTGCTAGTAAGAAAAAACAAAATGTGTTCAAAACTGTCTATTTATTAGCTTTGACAAAAAAGGTTCCTCCCCCTTGTAAATGACAATAAACAGGGGTCGTCAGGGGGACCCTTGAGATAAAGTTTTTGAATTTTTATTGAGAGGAAGGATCATATTTTGTTATCAAGAAAACAGATTTTTAGCTGTTTGTCTGATTTCTGAAATATTTACCTACCAAATTTCAATTTTCAAGGAGAAAATTGTCCCCCAAAATACAATTTTTGGCCCAAAATTCCCCCCTGATGCCCGTGCAGTTTCTTGTTTAGAATTAAAAAAATGCCACAGTGAGTAGTGTTTTCTGAAGTACTAACTGCACACAAGATATGAGGGAAAGTTTTGTTTGACCAATTTTGCTCAATCCTTAGCGACTTTCGTTCTTAAATACCGGGTTACTGGTGTGTCTGGGTGTGGAATGTTAAACTTGGTGCTTTAGAGATATAAGACGTGGCGCAAGTTCAAGAAACCAGTGAAAGAAGTTGTTGAAAGCTTGTCTGACATAATAGTTTGTATAAGGTTCTCCTTGAATAGTTCGGAACACATGATTGCACATTATGTTTATTTTTATTTGATCAGTGTTGATTATTTTAAAGCTTTCATTTGCTCGTTTTTGTATGAAGGAACTTATTGGCTAGTTTCGATATAAAGCCTTGAATGTCTTTTTAGTATTCAAAACTGTTTTTTAGTGACATCTGTGCATTCATTAGGCATGAAACTACAGTGTGTATGTTTACGAATAAATTAGTTTCTACAGTTCCTACAATGCGTTTCAAAAGAGATGACGAGAATCTGTCGTGAATATAACACCTTCCTGATTGCTTTCAAGAGCACGTTTAGAAGAAATCGCTTTCATGGGTTGACATCATGCGCTAGAAGGGTGAAAAGTGCTCTAGTTTGCCTTTCCTTACATTGGGCTCGGTTTTCGTGAAGTGCCTGCATGCCCGAAGGGCATTCTTCTCTTTTAAAGGTGGAATTTGTTCACTGCCAGGCTGAAAAGTTCAGATCCAAACAAATCTCTTCCACAGGTTGACATCATGCGCTGGAAGGGTAAAAAGTTTTTTATTGTGGCTCTCTTCGAATTTGATTCGGTTTTAGTAATAAAAGTACGTGCATTCCTGAACGGCATTTTTTGTCTGGACTGTAAGAGCTTAAATTTTTTTAAAAATTAAACTCTTTTTAAAGAATTTTATTATATTGCGAATTGTTTTGCGAATTCCACCTCATCGACTTTTAACAATGATTGCTCAAATCGCACAGCTATTTACCTGGGTGTTAAAACATAATTGAAATTGTAATTAGAGAAGATCAAAAAATTTACCGAACTATAAACCACAGCCCAGATGAGATCTCTTTAAGAGAGTTGTTAGGCGGAAACGTATCTACTTTTGTGCAAAACATAATTGAAATTAGAGTTACCGAGGATGAAAAGATTCACTGAACTATACAACCAAAGGAAGTAAAGCCCAGTTAAGATCACTTTTGGGGAGTTGTTTGGAAACTTTCATTTGAACGTTTTACCCTGACAGTGAATAAATTGCACTTTTTTAGGAGAAGAATATCCCTTCAGACTCTCTTTTCCATTTATTCCCCCCTCCGTCTTCTTTTTCTTGTTCTCGTCTGCAACAAAGTCTGGTTAAAGAAGCTCGCTATTTAAATGTTTTGCCCTCGTAAAGTTTATGGAGACGTGTACGTCGATTATAGTAACCGCCCCTTTTTTTATTATTTCCACCCAACAAGGCGCCAATGTTTACTTCAATGAGATCTACGGGGAGACCTGCAATTATCGATATTAGTTTCTACAGTCCAATGCGTTTATTCAAACAGATCATGACAATCGGCGGTGAAAATTACACCTTTGTGGTTGGTTTCAAGATCACATTTACAGGAAATCTCATCGTGCATTGACTTCCTAGCTTAAAAGGGTGACAAGTGCTTTATTTTGCTTCTTCTTAAACTGTGATTTATTTTCGTGACATGAGTGCATGCCGGATGGGCATTTCTTAGCCAAAGGAGCTTTTAATTGGGCTTTGGTTTTACAGTTCAGTTGATTATGCTATCAATGGTCTATATAATTTTATACAGTCTAATGTTTTTTACAAATAGATGATGACAATTTGTCGCGAATATTACACCTTTCTGGTTGTTTTCAAGAGTGCATTTAGAAGAAATCTCTTACTTGGGTTGACATAATTCTCCAGAAGGGTGAAAATGCTTTGTTTTAGCTCTGTTTGAATTGGACTCGGCTTTCGTGAAGTAAGTGCGTGCATACCTGGAGGGCATTCTTCCTCTTCATTCTTCCCATAATAATACAGTTGCACAAAAAGTAATTCCAGAAAACTCTTCAAAACAGACCCCACGTAGTCTTTTGGTTTTACAGTTCAGTACATCTTTTCATCTCATGTTAACATAATTTTAGTTTTGTATATATCAGTGGATAATTCTACGTTTTGATGCCAGTCTACTTTGCAGGCTGGACGTGAAGTATCAACTAGGATTCTGATATCTCCGTCAACTGAACGATTTCAGTTTTTGGTAAGTTGCTAACGAACATTTTATTTCACAACTGTAGGATTTTTTCAAAAACGACCTTATCGAGCTGCTTGTACAACAGAGACAAATAATCCAGTTTTTTAAGTTGTTATCTGTGAATTTTCCCGGAGACTAACGGGGACTTCTCTGCCAACCATACACATCTTTTAGAGGACAATGCCCACAGTTACCGCAGCTTGTACAATGCTATTGAAAATGTTGAAAGTCTCTTTGTGAGCGACAAAAAGCACATCGTCTAATTTAGTTACCGCTCAAGAAAGTTGCCTGAACTTTTCTTTATTCCCAAACATCACTCATTCTTCATGCTCGATTTAGAGGCAACGCCTAGGAATTAAGCTGCGCCTAGAATGTTCTACCTCAAAATTTTGTTGTTCTTTGGCAATGATAGCAGTAATATATGAGAAATGTTCTGCATTACAATAGATGAAAACTGTGGTCAAGGTCTGTGTTTCAACCAAAGTTCTACTTCTTTTGACGTTAACGCTTTTTTTTCACTACTTGCAGGAGACAACTTCTTATTTTACTAACTTAGACCACAGTCATAATAAATTCAAGTTCCTGATGTGCTCGAGTGATCTGGTGCCTTGCGCACATAACATCTTCCTCTCCGCTATCACAGGATACTAATAACTTTTTTTTAAAGCTAATGAAATTACTCGCTTAGAGTTAGCATCCCGAAGAAAGAGAAACGTGATACAACTCACTATGACTCTGACGTGATACAACTCACTATGACTCTGAAGATGACTACCGCACAGGTTGTCGAAACGTCAGTCACTGTCAATAACAACAGTCCTATTCAGGACTACGTTCACCTAGACGATCAAACTCAACCTATTTATGAAAGAAAGAGTGTTAAAAATCATCCGGGCAAAAGTTATTTAGCATTTACTGTTATCTTCTTCCAAATAAGAAGATAAACCTAAATGTATATTACATCCAACCCCAGATCCACAATGAAAGCGTCTATAACAGCAGCCATTCTTTTCTTCGTCCTGGGCGTCTCCATTGGACGTAGCCGCTTTTCTAGTTCCGAAGTTTATGATGATGCTGACGATGTTACAGTTCCCGGTAAGTTCACTGACTGCGAAGTTACTTACCACTCATTAATCCAGGTCTTTAATTGTGTGTGTGTGTGTGTATTTCTGTACATAGCGAGCCTTTAATTTGCGCCTAACTCAAGAAAATTAATTGCATCATCTACATATTTTTGAAGCCAGGATACTTTAAGCAAAATAAAAGAAATTGTTATATTCCTAGACTTTGACTCAACTAAACAGGGACAGCCGTTGGTTGATTGTTGGTCACATGGCCTTGACTAAAATCAAATGTATCCCGATCGTGATACATTACAGCACGTGATCAAAGCATGGTGGAAAGTGGAGTGACAGAAGGCAGGAAAAACACTGCCAGTTTTCTTTTTCGTAAATGAACAAACAACACAAACATGAAGCCTCAAGCTAAAAAGGAACGATTTTCAAAGTTATCCCAGAACTAGGGAAACAGCAGCTAGTGGAGGAAAAAGATGCCGATAATATGGTTTTGAGAATCAAATTTGTGTTCTTATAAGTACCGAGTCGACCGTTTTGATTCGTTCCGCTTAAGCGTATTCTTTTGTTTCTGTTGAAGTACGTTAAAGTTAAAGGCTAGGAATATCACAAAAAACTTAATGTCAGGTCCCTCGGGAAACCAGTTACTTTTGTTTTTCCTCGAGTCCTGTTTCCTTCGGGATCTGACAACATTAAGTGTATAATGTTGATATATTTCCGTTCATGTCAAGTGAACCAACCCCTCACTGAAAACTTTACCAAGTCGTTTTCGGACATTTTATTTATTTTCATCGTTCCCAAATCTCTTCATATACCATTAGAAATTTTGGGGAGAAAGCTTACTGGAACAGAATATCATGTCACTGCAGAAAAAGAAAAGCCATCATAAGGAAATTCTGGAGTAAGCAGAAAACCTCCGGCGCCGACCTGTTGAAAAAAGCTCATTTTATAGGCAACCTCTAGGACCTAAGGTGCATCTAGAATATTCTATCTCAAAGCTGTGTCGTTCTGTGGCAATGATATCAATAACATATGTTAAATTTTCTGCATATTAATGGTGAAAAGTAGTGAACAGAGTCCATACGTCTAAGCTGTTGCAATTCCACAAAAGCATTAGTAGTTCCCGGTGTTGTGGTCTTGCCTTTCTGGTCTGGGTGAGTTGGGTGGGGCCCTTTCCCTCTGGGCAGCTTTGTCCAGTAGAATAGAGAAAACGAAAACGGGTATGGATATTTGTAATTATGGTCAAAAAATGGGGGTGTCTTCCCTTCTAAAGTTTGAAACAGGGTATGGATTTTTATAATCTTGATCAGAAAATGTTCAAGTTTCATTCTGTGGCCTGAAAATGGGGTAGGGACTGTTACAATTTTATTTAAAAATGGTAATGTTTAGTTGTATGGCCTGAAACAGCGGATGCATTTCTACAATTTTCATCAGAAAATTTCGTCCTATGGTCTCAAATATTGTATAGGTTATATCAAATTTGCTCATGAAGCGGGTCCTTGGGAGTCCCAAATTAACAATACTGTTCCATAACTTCCTGCCCCTTTCCTTAAGAATCTTCTGAACCAGTGTAACTATTTAATATATCCAAATCTAAGCGTTCTTGACTGCATCCTATAAATCTGGCTGAGTTATTTAGTTTGTGAGGCTACTCCTCAAACCCTTACACAATATATAAGGAGGGCATGATTAAGGTGTTAAAAAATAAAGCTGATCCTGCATGCTACAACCATTCGCTACACACACTCTTAGGAGATGCATGCGTTTTAAAGGCCTTCCCAATGAGGTCATCAAATTGCATATCCTAATTTGCGGGATTGTCCTGGATGGCTCCTCCGAGGAGCTTCAAATGTAAGCTACTAAGGATAGCTCGTGTTTCAAAACAGTTTTGGCCCTCAGATATCTCTTTCTGAGTATGTCAAGCTATTCTGGGAAAGAAAAGATTCAACAGTAGCTTATGTCTGTGATTATGAATACTCATTTTACAGAGAAACGTATTTTCTGGTGGTGGCATCGTCCTGCTCGTCCAAGCACTCACAACACTTGGAATGGTGGCAATAATAATGGTGGTAACGTCAACAACAATCAGAATACCGGTGGCAACGGTGGAAGCAACTCTTGGACTGGCGGGAACGGAAATGGTGGATCTGTATCCAATAATCAACAAGGCGATGTTGCAAGTCCAGGTAAGTTCACTAAGTCCAAAGCTACTTAGCACTGATCAGAAAAACCAACATGTTTCGCTCTATGGTGTAAACCAGGCTATGGATATGAACAAATTTAATCAAAATATGGGTATATCCTTTTAATCGTCTAAAACAGAGTGTGGATATTTACAATTTTGATCCAAAAATGGGTATGTTTCTTCCTCTGGCAGGGACCGCGGAGTGGGAGGGGCTGGTAGGGCCGAGGCCCCACTACTTTTTTGCGCCCCCGCCCCCACTTTTTGTGCTAAAAAATAAAATAAAGACTTGAAACAAGTTTTTTTCCGTCTATATTCCGCTATATTCTCTGTATTTTCTTTAATTTCAAACGCCAGGCATTTTGTGGGGCTCCTGTGCTTTT